GGTTATCAGTCCAGTACTTATCCTACAACGCCATGCCAGGATTCAATACCCCTTGTTGTTGTTTAGTGTCATTGAGTCAGTTCCAACCCATAGCGATTCTTTATAGGGCTTCTAAGGAGTGACTGGTGGGTTTGAACTGCTGACCTTGCTGTTCAAACTGACCTTTCAATCCAATGCTAATCCTGCAGTGCCACACCAGGATTCCCAATACTGTTTGTTGTTGTTGTTAAGTGCTGTTGAGTTGATTTCAACCCATAGTGACCCTGTATAGGGTTTCCAAGGAGCAGCTGGTGAGCTTGAACAGCCAACCTTGCAGTTCAAATGGCTTTGCAGTCTGGTGCTTTAACCCACAGGGCCACACCAGGACTTCCCTTAGTCAATGCTTACTAGTGAATTAAAACTTCTCTTCACCATACCCATCCTCTGTCCCACCTCAGGAGAGGTAAATGAGGATAACTCTAGAACTTTCTCTCCTGGCTTTTAAACTGACAAGGTTTTTAAATAGATTTGTATATTCTCAGTTCAAAAACATTATGATATGTACTACTGGAATGTTTTCTGAGAAAAGTAAGATAGCAAAGCTCCAGTCATGACGTTTATGATGATGAGAAAGGAGGGTTTGAGGGTCACAGGGTCCAGGTTATCTTTGTTTTGTTTCACCCAAGGTTAGTGCTGCCATTGGCAGTCAGTATGTGTAACCACAATAACTTCTAATGATTTAAGGCTTTCATTTTTTTGTAGTAACAGAACCAGGTTACAGTTGTGCTTTCAGAAAGGTAACGGGCACAACTAGATTGTCCTCTTCCCTTCCAGTGTAGGGGAAGATTATCTCTATGCTCCCCCCTCATAAATTGAAGGAAGACCTCTAACTTGTGTGTAAAGCCATTGGTTTCCCATGTCCACTGCTGCTTCGGGTAAACACTGTGTAATATGTTCCAATCTAAAACCTCTGTTGATTTTTTGTTTTGTTTTGTTTTTACCATGTGCCCTGTAATTAGCCTGCACATGTTCATAGGGAATGGTTTTCATCACAAAAAACATGTTCATTCTTCAGAATCAGGGACTATTTAGATGATGAGGAAGAATATAGTAAGTGTGAAAATATATGTGAATACTTTGGTGGGATTAAGAGGGCCTTGCTGTGAAGCCATATTTTTAGGTTTTCCATTCGTAGATGTCTGTTTTTAGCAATATGATTTGCTGTGCAATACAAAAGCACTTTTTGCAGGTTTCTAGAAATGCTGAACAAAATCTAACAAATCCATGGCCATATGTGTAAGTGAGGGGAACCTGAAAATTCAGAAATGAAGAATTCTGAGCTGGGGTTTCTGGGGGCCAGAGTATGTGTGTGGGGAAGACAGTTAGCTTATGTTAGGAATCACAGATTTTAGGGTTTCATGGCCAGAGGTACAAAGGGGAGGCCTTGGTCCTAGCACAATAGGAAGTGGTAAACGCGTAAACAAAACAACAATTGCCTACCCACTTAGGAAGACAGTAACAAAGCTTTCTTTAATACAACAACAAAGTCTCTTCTTAAGTTTCACAGTTACAGATGAGCCCTCACAAGATTATATTTAAATTCAAGTCTGGCGCTGTAGGATAAACAACGGACTGTCAATCACAAGGTCAGCTGTTCAAACCCACCAGTCACTCCTTGGAAACTCCATACAGGGTCAGTATGAGGCGGAAGCGACAGGATGACATGCAACAACAACAACAGAGTAGTCTAGGAATCCTGATGCCACGTTCTTCATAGAATCCAGCTTCTAGGATTATTTGCTCAGTGTACAGATTGAATATGTATCAATTTGTATGCTGAAAGTGAAAGAATTCAACTCTGGTGTACACCTTTTTTTACTTTAAACCATTCAGTATCCCCTTGTAATGATCTAACAGCAGCATCTTGGTCTATGTACGAATTCTTCATGAGTACAATGAAGTGTTCTAGAATATCCATTCTTCGCAATGTTATCCAGAGTTTGTCATGATTCACACAGTCGATAGCCTTTGCATAGTCAATAAAGCAGAAGTAAACATCTTTCTGATTTTCTCTGCTTTCAGTCAAGATCCATCTGATATCAGCAGTGACACCCCTAGTTTCCAGTCCTCTTCTGAATCTCGCTTGAATTTCTGGCATTTCCATGTACTGTTGCAATTATCTTCAGCAAAATTTTACTTGCATGTGATATTAATAATCTATTTCACATTCTGTTGGGTCACTTCTCTTTGCAATGGGCACAAATACGGATCCCTTCCAATGGGTTGGTCAAATAGCTGTGTTCCAGATTTGTTGGCATAGATGAGTGAGTGCTTCCAGTACTGCATTAGTTTACTGAAAGATTTCAACTTGTATTCCATCAAGATTTCAACTTGTATTCCATCAATTCCTGGAGAGTTATTTTTCGCCAGTGCCTTCAGTGTGCCTTGGATTTACTTCTTTCTTTAGTACTATTAGTTCTTGATCATATGCTGTCTCTTGAAATGGTTGAATATTGACCACTTCTTTTTGGTACAGTGACTCTACGTATTCCTTCCATTTTCTTTTGATGCTTTCTGCATCATTCAATATTCTGACCATAGACTTCTTCAATATTACAAGTCGAGGTTTGATTTTTTTCTTCAGTTCTTTTAGCTTGAGAATTGCTGTGTGTGTTCTTCCTTTTTTTTTTGTTTTCTAACTCTAGGTTATTGCACATTGCATCGTACATTTGGCTTTGTCTTCTCAAGCAATGAGGAAGTACACGAGCTGAACAAAACATTTCCAGTGACAGCATGAGAAGACAAAGTCAATACCTAATTAATGCAATGGAAATATTGGGCCATAGGGCTCAAAGAAGGAGTTTTGGTGGCACAATGGTTAAGTGCTCAGCTGCTAACTGAAAGGTCAATGGTTCAAACCTAACATTCAGCAAAAGACTTGGCAATTTGGTCTCATAAAGATTACATACAGGTCAGGCAAACTATGGGGCAGTTGACTGTGTTCTATAGGGTCCCTGTAAGTTGGAATGGACTTGACAACAACATGAAAATGTTCATAGAAGTTACTTCTGGAAGGATTATAGGTGGTTTCTATTTTCTTCTAGAATTTTGTCTTCACAATAATTCTACATATATGTGTGTGTTTGTGTCTGTGTGTGTATACATGAGGGGGCTTCAAAAAACTTCATGTAAAAATTGCATTATCTTTTTATTGCATCTCCCCACAAACTTTTGGCAGTATATGTGTGTATGTATGTATGTATGTATATATAAGTATATATATAAGTAGTTTTGTGTTAT